CGGTCCCAGCCCCAGGGGTTTCAAGAAGGGGAATTTTGCTGAGCAAAGCAGAGCGGGAGGCTTCTCCAACACAGCCGAGCAAAGGGCTGTCCTCAAACCAGGCTCACCTTCCCCATACTACAGCCTGGGCGCCTCAGGAATAGCAGCTTAAAATGTTTTTTTGGCCAGAGGGAGATGCTTATTCTTTATGTTATCCCAGCATCAGCCACCCCGTCCCAAGCCGAGCCTCCGCTGTGCTCGGTGCTGTACAAACACAGATGATTTATGGCGCAGTGGTTCTTTCTGACAGCCAGATCTTAAAACTCCCTTCAGAGAGCTAAAAAATTTAATTTCAGAAAGGGGGGAGGGGGGAAAGGCAGCAGGAAACCTGAGATGCCCCTGCGGCCGCTTGGTCGGAGCAGCATGTGCTCTATGCAAAACGTCAAATCTCAGGCATTTGGCAGCAAAACCTCACAAGGCAGCCATGCTCCCCATCGGCAGCCACCAGTGTCATGGGAAGGGGCCACTAAGCAGGGACAAGGGGAGCCCAGAGGTCCCCCCAAAATGATGGTTGGTGGTTTGGGATGGACCCATTGCCCTGGGACTGTGATGGGAGGGTGCTGCGCTGCCCTTTGGGGGAGCCACGGCTCTCCCAGGGCTCTGCATGCCTCCCCCACCGCAGGGTGTTGCCACTGGTGTTGGGTGGCCACCAGCCTGGAAAATTAAACTCAGCATCCCCCAAACCTTGCCGGGAGCCGGGGGCAGGCTCCTGCCCATCCCAGCCCTGGGCTGCAGCCCCCTCTGCCCTGGAGGGAGCACACAGCAGCCTCCGCACGCAAGAGCCGGAGAGCTGGGAGAGCGTCACCATAAACCTGGGAGAAACGCTTGGCTCCGAGCAAAGCTCAGGAGGGGGAAGTGAGCAAAGGGGAAAAGTATGTTGCTTCGTAATGCATGGATCCTGCTCTCATGTTGCTGAGATGCTGCATGATGCGCTTCCTCCCCCCCCCAGCTGCACGCAGGGCAGGGGCAGAGCGTGCCTGCTCCATGCCCATGTTTCCATTTCCAGCAAACATCTGGAAACACCTGGGAACGTGCTCCGTGAGCGTGGCTGCCGAGGGGACACGTGGAAGGTGCTTGAAACCCCCCT